ATCAGTTCTAATACTATCATCGTGAGATGTTCCCAATACATAGCTGGGATGTGCTGTGAGATATTGTGGGGCACCCCCTTGTGGGGTGCAGATGTGAACTCCCTCTAAACCCAGCTGAATTGTGAGTGCTAGCTAGAGGAGTTATCTTCATGTGGCAGATCTGGAAAAGCAAGATGTCAAATGGTCATGGAAAATAAGGCCTTTCACCCTTTTTCTGTGATGATGGCCGCCCAGTCTCTGATTCAATTTCTCTTTTCTAATCTTTGTGTGGCACACAAGTTCTTATTTTTACTACACCTGTGGGGAGAAGAGAATTTTGGGAAAAACCTCAAACTTCTATATTAAAATTGAACTTTGATGGGGCATGTAATTCATTCTCAGGTGATGCTGGCTGTATTCTCAGAGATTCATTTGGCTCTTTCTGTTTTGCAAGAACCGTTAATCTAAATGTTGGAGATCCTCTAGAAATTGAAGGTCAAGCAGCTTTCTCGGCCCTCTCTTTTGCTCAAAAACTAGGCCTCTTGGCTTGCTTGTTTTCAGTGATGCAAATGCGTTAGAATCCAATTTTGCTTCAACTTTAATCTAGGTTTCGGATTATTTTGTTTGTTTGCATTGCAGATGAAGTAAAGTGAAAACTAAATCAGAATCATTTAAAAGCCAGGGCAAAAACAAATTAAACCAAATTTCGCAAAATTCTGAGAACTTGAAGTATCAAAATATAAATTAAATATATGAGTATTGTCAGTTGTGTGTGTAGTATCGACATTTGAACTATACAAGTTCCATTCCATGACAGTAATATGAAATAGCTTTCTACCACTTCCTTCAAATAATTTTTTTGTATATTTATTAAAATTTGGGGAGTTTTATTTTTAATAAAATAAATAATTAAGGCATCGATCGTATTCTGATAAAATTGAGAGGGGAGGGTGGGGACTCACTTTCTACCCACTTTTTACCCGTTATAAATGTAGTCACACATCTGATCCTGTTTGCTACAATAGAGCCCACGGAAAACCTTTTCCTGAATAATATTGGTTATTCGGAGGGTGAGTAAACGATCGAAAACACAAATCACATGGATTCTCATGCGTATCCGAATAACGTTTTCTTAAAAATCATTTACCCGGAAAAACACATTACCTAAGTAATGCAGAAGGAACAAAGCCTAAGTAGAGATTATGTGGGAGATCTGTTAGACAAGAGAATCTATTCTATGGGATGTTTCTAACAGTTGCACGGAATTAAGAGCGTAGAAGTTATAAGGTTCAATATAATATATTTTTAAATAGTAGAAAACAATAAACCAATTGTAACACTTTATAATGTTTTTTTAACTTCATTATATAATACTTAAATTAAAAAACAAAACCAATAAACTAGGACAGACAAGAGGAGACAAAACAAGAACAATACTAGGCCTACTAGGTTATAGGGAAACCAAATTAAAACTAAACAGTCAATAAAACCAAACCAGGAATCTGGATTTCGTCCTCCTCACCCCGTACTCCCAACACTTCACACAGCTGTGTATTGAAAATATCTTTCGAAAATGAAACATTATGAATACGGAGATGTATCCAAATGCATGGCTGTAAATGTTGTGAGGCCGGTGCCATAACCATTTTTGTTAGGACAAAACCCGATCTCTACAGTGAGTTCTTAGGAAAAAAAAAGCTTTAAATAGCTGTGGCCTGTGATCATGTGACTCTACATTTTAATATTTTAGTAAAAAATAAGATGCTTTATGTAACAATAAAATTCTTAGGTGGCTGCCCCTTTGCCTAGAATAAATTTTGTGATAAATTTACTATGGCTTTTTTGCATTTTTCTTAGGCTGTGTTTCGTTGTAATATAAACACAAATATATACATTACATATTTACCCATTTTCGCTTCATAAATGTAAACATGGTTCACATTTTAAACCGTATTTGTATTCATCTTTTTTATTTGAAATTGGTGCAAAGTGTGGGACCTTCATTAAATGCTCCAACTATCTTATGCTCCAATGCCTTAATTTTGGTCAAAAAGTTTAAACACAAAATTGTATTAAAAAAATAGGTACAATAATGCTCTCTTCTCAGAATACAAAAGTATCATAAAATATATATTTATTCTGATAATCATTACTTTTTTACGTATTAAACAAATGCTCACGAACGCAAACCGGGATACATAAATACTCCGGTTCAACGTTTGTATCACAAACAAATGGAGCCTTAAGTTCACCATAACTTTTCAAAATGTCCAAAAACTATCATGTTAGTGAGTTTTATTTTCCAAAACTCACCATCTGTTAGAGCACCATTAATAATGATTGAAAGAAGTTGTTCACATCAATGTGAATACAATTTTCATGACCAAACTGTTCCTAAATGACGAGTCAGCCTTGTTAAAAATATCCTTCTACTTGCATCTGTAAAAAGTTTGTAAATTTTTTTTACCGAGTGACAGTAACTTATTCTTCTTGTTCCTCTGGTTCCCCACTTGATTTTTTCCATTCTCTTGTTGCATCCAAACCTCAAGTTCATCCATACATGACCTTGTATCCGTGAACGAACTCCAGGGATTGATTCCCAATTGGCCAATACAAAGTGTCAAAGTCAAAATTTTAGTGCTTGCTTACCAATCGAAGGAAAATAATGAAAATGCAAACTTATCCCAGAAAGAATTCTCGTTGGTGCTTCATGTCTCTTGAACTTTGATGCTCTCCGGAATCTTGTCCAATGCTTCAAGCGACCTCCGCTTCTCGATACATCCACTCAATGTCGATACATATTCCAGGAATTCATCTGGTTCAATCCGTCTACCTTCAGACTTCTAGGCCCTTCCTCTATGCGTTGAATGCTTCTGTATCTTGTTGGGATGTTTACCAGTCCTTAGACAATGATTTTATTCCTAATTTTGAGATCCACACTCAGTAAGCAAGCTAAGTGTGAAGAAGTTGCTGGTCGTGTGGAAACATTGAAAGAGGAGAACAGTACAAATAGAGAGGAATTGGAACATTTACGGGAGGAATGTGAGAAACTAGCATCAAAAAAGGCCTCTAGAAACTTTAGAAACATCAGGGACAAAAGTCTGGAATAGATGACCTTGATGGCAATCCTGATGCTAAATGCTTGAAGGTACCAAACCAGGAACCACCTTGTTAAAAGCGAACTGTATCAGATTCTAGATTCCAATTCATCTATGGATGTGGAAAAACAAAAGTCACAGCCAAACGGCCCAAACCAGATGAGCACTGGAAACTGGAAACTTTAGCAAAGGGTAGAATTGTAATTTAATAACACCCATTAATTTACCTAACGTGGTGGTTTATGGACGTTTAAAAAAGTTAGGATGAATTTAAGAAAAATGCTGAAGAGTTTTAGACATTAAAAAAAAAATTGTGATAATCGAAAAAAGAAATGCTAATTGGGTAAAATAATGAGCTTACTGAAGGATGCCACATGTTCCTGCTACGTGATGGAATTGTCGCCTATCCAGGCTGTTGACTCTTGCACACAAAACGTCAATATCAACTAAATTTTTTTACGCCTTCAGGCAAAAGTATCACCTAAATTGTAAGATCAGAAATTCTCCCCAGTTATGAAATTCCCTTTTCAGTAGAGGCTGGCAAAAGGAACACAAGTGGGAGCCTTCTTGCCACCTGGAACGTTTCTTCCTCGTTTACTTTACACTGTTTAAAACGAATTAGGTCTAATTCAATCTAATGAATATTTTGGATTGGTCCAATTCAGTTTCTATATTGTTTAAATTCGTTTTGATTTATATTGGTTTTAATTCAAATTTGACCCATGGACACTTATATTTTTATCTTATATTAACGGATTAAATATTGATTTAATCCAATCCAATCCAATATAAATTTATTATGGACGGATCAGGTCCAATCCAATTTAATAAATATTTTGGATCAAATTGATCTAATCCAATATGCCATGTTGGTCCATCCAATCCATTCAAATTGATTTTGGACTAAACGAGGTCTAATTCAAAACCAATCCACTTGATACCCTTAACTGTAAAACAAAAAAAAAAAAAACACAGATGCATTCCATGCCAAAAATAGAAACATGTATGATGCTGGAAAGATATGCTATTACAAAAGATATGGTGCTGGAAAGATACGCTATTAGAAAAGATTTGATCAATTAAAACCAAAGGCGTCAGACAAGTATTTATCGTAATTAGGTTTGTTTATGAGTCAGGCTTGGCTTTTTGTTGAAATTTGAACCTAACCCGAACCTGAAACAATATAAAATCCAACTCAAAACCCGACTTGGGAATAAATGTAATTATATTGGATATCATTTTATTCATTTATAATGGATTTATATTCGACAGGGTCGGATTAGAGTAATATCTGTCTATTGACAGGCTTAAAATCCCCTCTGCATCAATTTGATGAGAATTTATGATTCCTGTTGATTGGTTATAAATTTTTATAGTATTATGTATTTTCGACATTATATTCAAAATAATAATAAAAAAGGAAAAATCTATAATACCTAAAAGATATGATATGGAAAAGGTTTTGGCCAATCAATGAATTTTGATAAACAACACCCGAATCATTATCACGTTTATGATTTTAATTTATTGGTCAGTTATTTTTTCCATATCTTATCTTGTTCTAAACAATCTGGTATCATTGTAGTTTGGTAGAATCTTTCAGCACTGAAGTTTCCAAAAGAAGAAGAAACTAGAAGTGTGTGTGTTTCCTTCTGCGGCTTTCTCCTGGTCTCCTTCTGCGACTTTCTCGCATCTCTCAGAGAGGGAGACTGAGACAGAGACCGGTGGTGCTGGTGTGATTTATCTTTTTTTTTTTTTTCCTTCAGAGAGAGAGAGAGAGTGTGTGTTTCTGTGACTGTGCGTCGTATTCGGTGAATTTTTGCAATTTTACAGTTGAGGAATCTGTCATCGACATCGACAGGTTGTGTGTGTTCAAACCGAAAGGAAAAGAGGCACACACGTGCGAGTTTCGTCCTTATAAAGGACTGCACTCACTCCTTCGGCACTCACTCCATTACCACTTCTTCTCTCTGTTTCCAAGTCTTGACGCAGAGAGCTGCTTTTAAGTTAAGGTACGACTTCTGATATTTTTTGTCGTCCTACTCCTACCCCGGAAAAATCGATTTCTTCGCGTTTCGATCACTGTTGCCTCGAATTTCATCTGCGAAACGGCCGAAGTTCGTCATCGAATTCTTTCTGCTTCTTATTCTTCTGAGTACGATCTTCTTATTCTTCTGAGCATCCTTTCGGAAGAATTCTCTTTTCTCTAAAATAGCCGGTAGTATCTGTATATGATTGGTTTTTGGATCTGCTCCTTTCAAAATTCAAGCTTGAATCCTGCTTCTAGTGTAAAGTTTGCTTGAATGATTGATTAAGCTCTGAATTATCCGGCTTGAAAAGTATTCATTGTAAATGCAATTCTGTTGTAATTTTTTTTTCTTTCTGTTTTATGTGAAAATTTTGTCGGTTTTTCGCTTAATTTTTTATGTTTATCTTCTCTTCTTCACCTGATATCTCTGTTTTCTTGCGTTGCAAGTTGCCTCCCGTCTATGGTGGATAAGACTGAGAAAAAAAAAACCTTTTTCAAAACAAGCGTCATCTAAGAGGTGGATACTTATCTCATATGAGCTTTGAAGTTTTTGTACGCATCAGTACTGAATTTGTTCTTTCTGTAATTAATTTATGATTTTATTCTACTTGTTCTTTGTTCATTTATTTTTAAATATATTTTTTGTTTTTTTCCTTCTTCTTTCGGGTTAATGCAATAAGTGTTTCGTGTAATGTCTCAATATTCACGCTTAATATTCTTTGGAGATTTTATATGAAGAAAGGTGAAGCGTTCAGTTGGTCTAGCGTTCAAGGCTCTGTTATTTCATTTACGTTCTTTTAGAAGAATTTTGAGTTCTCTGGATTCTGGAAGAGTCCCAACCACTTTTGCTCGTCTCTTGCTTTCTCAGCCCTTTCTTTTTCCCCTTTTTAGAGGAAATCTTTTCCTCCTTTCTTTTCTTTCTACTTTGAACTTCCAAATTTCTTATCTTGATCATCTCCAAAGTTGGATATAGGCAAAAGCAGTTGTAATAGCTATTCCTTTCTTCTTTCCTTTGGGAAGGTAATTAATCTAATGGCAGCAGATCATCCCCGTCTTCTATCTCACTGTAGAAAATATATATATATATTATTATAAATATGTAGAAAAGATTCTATTATGTATTTATGTAATGAGCTGTGGTTTTTGTTTGTATTCTGAAACCATAGTCAAAATTATCTCTGAGGACTAGGTTGTATTCAGAATCAGAGGGACCTTTTGACTCACTCTACGTCTGTCCCCAAGTTGTATTTATTTATTTTATTTTAGCATAAGCGGTTCGATTTCTTCATCTTAAGTCTTATCTATGTTAATTCGGTTTTATTATTATTTTTTCTGTCTCTGTATTCGAAAATTAGTCGTGAAATCTCCGGGTTTATGCTTGTTAACATGGCATGAATTTTAGTTCTCTGTTCAGTCTTCTCTTCGGGAGTCAACGCAGTTGGTGCTTGTTCCCACGGGATTGTTCCGCAGTTTTCGAATTCAATATCTAAGCTGGTTTTTATTTCTGTGCAGTTGAAGAACCATCAGCCTCTGCTGCAACTCTTCGAAGGATGCTGGAGAAGATGGAGCAATTCGACTACGAGAAGGCAATAGAAAATTTCGAGGAACTGACCAGGGATGCGGAGAGAGTTCAGGTGGAAACCCTGAAGAAGATACTGGAGGACAATCGAGAGGCGGAGTACCTGAAGAAACTGGGACTCAATGGGAGGACTGATCCTGAGAGTTTCAGGGCTTGTGTTCCACTGGTCACTCATAAAGATTTAGAACACTATATCCAGAGAATCGTAGATGGAGACGATTCGCCTATTCTCACAGGAAAACCAATAACAACCATCTCATTAAGGTATCTCTTCTCTCTCTCTATATCTCCATCATTCAAAGGAGTGCCCTTTTCTTTCTGAAACAGAACAGAAATGTATCGAAGAGCACTTGCCCAGCGAGGCTGGATCTGCTTGAACACAACTTGCTCCTTACAGAGCTCATGCAATCAGATCCGGACACATGCTCTATTTAGATTTTTCTTCTTTTAAAAAAAAAATTGCAGGAATTTAGGACAGGCATTCAGATAAATAATAGATCAGATTGTTTGTACAGCGTTGTGTGCAGCAAAAGCTATGTGCAATAGATGTAAAGTTAGGACACGGGCGAAGGCTGAAAAGTCGGAAAGAAAACTTTGGCTGGTGGGGTGCAACACTTGACAGGTTACCGTGGATGTGGGGTAGAACAGTAATTGCACTTTCAACCAAAAGACAAGCAGGGGGTTGACGTGTCCTGGGAGTAAAGCTCTATAACAGCTAACAGCCCAGGCTGTCGGCTCCCAAGTCTCAACGGTCAAAGTTATCTCGCTGAAACTTGAAAGGGGGTTAATTTGTGGGAGAAAATGATGTAGTGTATCTGCATCATCATTAAACCGTATGAAGGATCATTATTAACCCAAGGCCACTTCGTGTGGTCAAGCCTAATCAAACTTATCCACATTTATAAGTGTGGGTCCACCCCCAATACCAGGGCTTCCCATCTCAAGCAAATCTTGCGGTTGCGGTTGACAGCTCTTTCTGGAAAGACTTCATTTGCTAAATGTTATTTATTATTTTATATAATAATTCCTCTCTCTCTGTTCTGGAATCCTTTCCCTCAAACATTGGAGGAGCAAAGGCTCGTCGGAAATGTGGATAGGTTGCGCTACGTTCCTTCAACGGAGTTGAAACAAACCCTGGTCTTCCACGCAAAAAAAGAAAAAGAGTTTTTTCTTTTATATTTAGGCTGAATTCTCATATCCTCATTGTGACGGGGAAAATGTGCTGTTTAATTTGCAGTTCTGGCACCACCCAGGGAAGGCCCAAGTTTGTCCCCTTCAACGAAGAATTGGTGCAAACCACAATGGAAATATTCACGACATCCTATGCTTTTAGAAATAGGTAACCACCTCACCATTTTGATTTCTTTTCTTTTGTTTACTTTTTTATGTTATAATTCTGTTTACCTTATAAACCCTTCGCTTTCCTGGTATATATAAAGTCTCTAATATCATCAATTGAATGAATGTCACCAGTGCCACGTTCACTTGATAATTGATTCAATCAGTGAACATTTTGGGTTTTGGGGTTTATAGTTGCCCCGAGTCCCCGACACAATATCACACAAGAGAACCTTGGCTGTTTTGAAGCTTCTGCACATGCCACGTTTACTCCACTTAGTTGTTTATGAGTTCACTTAAGTGAAGGTGAACAACATGTAGCCTTTGATATATTGATGTGGCGCCACCACGACTTCACCCCATCCAAATTCAAGGTGGGGCCACAACGTTACATCAAAGGCTTCCATGCATTCTGTAGCAAAAGAGGGTTTTTTTTTTGTTTCTTTTATTTCTCTTTTTAATAAAAAAAAAAGTTTAAGTTGATTACAATTTAAAATTACCCTTTTGCCCACATCCGAAACCAAATGGATGGTGTCTAGCTTTACAAATTACAATTAATTGTTGGTTGCAGAGAGTTCCCCATTGGAAATGGAAAGGCTTTACAATTCATCTACAGCAGCAAGCAATTCAAGACCAAAGGGGGTCTGGCGGCCGGAACTGCCACTACAAACGTCTATCGTAGCGAGCAGTTTAAGAAGACGATGAAGGCAATACAATCCCAGTGTTGCAGCCCTGATGAAGTCATATTCGGACCTGACTTCCGCCAATCCTTATATTGCCACCTTCTATGTGGGCTCATCTGTCGCGATGAAATTCAGTTTGTGTTCTCTCCCTTTGCCCACAGCACTGTCTATGCATTCCGAACATTCGAACAAGTTTGGGAGGAACTCTGTGATGATATCAGAACCGGGGTCCTTAGCAGTCGGATCACCGTCCCGTCCATCCGAGCTGCTCTGTCTAAACTCCTCAGGCCCAACCCTGAACTAGCGGATTTGATACATGACAAGTGTTCTGGGTTGAATAATTGGTATGGATTGATTCCAGAGCTTTTCCCACATGCTAAGTACATCTATGGGATTATGACCGGGTCAATGCTGCCTTATTTGGAGAAATTGAGACATTATGCCGGGGTATTGCCCCTGTTGAGTGCTGACTATGGGTCTTCCGAAGGTTGGATCGGAGCAAATGTCAATCCCAGATTGCCACCCGAGTTCACTACTTTTGCGGTGCTTCCTGATATCGGGTATTTCGAATTTATCCCCCTCACAGAGAGGAACAAGGATCAGCAACAGAATAAGACCGCTGCTACCTACTCTTATGCTGAGTCAGAACCGATCGGTCTGACTCAAGTGAAGATTGGGGAAGAGTATGAGATCATCGTCACTAACTTTGCAGGTATGGACGTATGATGAATATTTAGAATTCCAAACACAGAAAATTAACAACCTTGCTTTTATTTTCCTTTTTCTCCCCCCCCCCCCGGTGAGGAAAAGGAAGATTTATCATTTATGCTTGCCGTATTCTATTAGATAGTAAGACTTCATGTGATTGCCGTTTAATGAATTTCGTTTATTACCCAAAAGGGAGTTCATCGTCTTTTCGTGTCTACAGTTCTGTTGCCGCCTCTGCGATGTTTATTTCATTGTTTTCTTTTTTGTGAACTTGTCCCTTAACAGGAGCTGTTGTATAATTCTTCACATGGTCTTCTGGGCAGGAGCTTCTTGTTTAACAATTTACTTGTTTTTTTTTTTTTTCTTCCTAATTCATCATTCTTCTATGGAAGTCGGAGAGGTCTCCATTAAATACTTGCTATAATAGTTATAGAAGATCGACTTAACGTAGGGATCACTAGTTAAGAGAGAGAGAGAGAGAGGGAGGGAGTTTTTATGTTTGATAAATATGTATAACCGACATGACATGTAGAGGATTAGGTGAAATGCTTATATGACATTTTAGGTTTGTTTTCGGGATAAGTAGACTGTCAAAATATGAAATTACAGCTTCCTTTTAGTCTATTAATAGCCTCCTATAAATCGTATCCTACCCGTGATTCAACGTCTATCTACGGTCAGATTCATCACCTGTATGGTGGGGCTAAAATTTCTAAGGTGGACTTAAACAATAAAAACCCCGTTGTTTTGTGTTAATGCATGAATGAGCAGGGGCAAGATTGAATGTGTGACTTACCCATATAAGACAAGCGTCCTGAGCCACAAACAAAACAACATCTAGCTAGACAAAACATGACATATTGTTGTACCTATTATTATAACTCTCAAATTTATTAAATTTGTACATGCAAGCAGGTCTATACCGATACAGGCTAGGGGACGTGGTTAAAGTGATGGGATTCCATAACTCTACCCCGGAGCTTCAATTTGTATGCCGGAGGAATTTGCTACTAAGCATCAACATAGACAAGAACACAGAGAAAGATTTGCAGCTAGCAGTTGAAGCAGGTGGGAAGCTGTTAATGAAGAAGACAAAGGTTGAGGTGATCGACTTTACCAGCCATGTGGATGTGTCGACGGACCCTGGACACTACGTCATCTTCTGGGAGCTGAGCAGTGAGGCCAGTGATGAAGTGCTGAATGAGTGTTGCGATTGTTTGGACCGATCTTTCGTTGATGCAGGATATGTTAGTTCCCGAAAGGTGAATGCGATTGGAGCGCTTGAGCTCCGTGTGGTAAGGAGGGGAACCTTCCAGAAAATTCTGGATCATTACCTGGGCCTCGGAGCTGCTTTCAGCCAGTTCAAGACCCCACGATGCGTGGGGCAGTCCAACCCCAAAGTCTTGCAGATCCTATGTAACAATGTAGTCAACAACTATTTCAGCGCTGCTTTTTCTTGAAATTCTATATAATGCATGCAATTGGATCTTCTTCTGATGCAGTGCTATGGATCTAAACTATGTTGTAAAACACTAAATCATTTAAGGGTCTGTTGGAAATTAGATCAGAATGGTTTACTTTCCTAACCTGTTTGGTTGAAATGAAAATTGAACCATTCTCTCCAATAGGGAAATGTTGTTCCAAATCCAAACCCATTGCCATAAAACAAACGGGCCCTAAGTCCTAGCATCCTAGGCTTTCAGTTCCAGATTTGTCTAGCGTGCCTAAAAGGAATTAATGAATTCGATTGTCTCGCTCATTTTCGGCCAGTCCCAAATATATAGTTCTTGTTTTTGATGGGAGGAGATAATTTAGGGATCAAACTTAGTAAGTATGTTAAATGAATATTTAGTATGTATTTGGTTTTGTTGGCGTTTATTAAATAAACATTTTACATTTAATGTGACTGTAAAACCGAAAAAAACAATTAATGAAAGTTTTTATGACATATATGCGCCATTAGTCACTACATCAGCAAAAGTTTCAATAAATACCTCCCTCCCGTTGGGGGAAGCTCCAAAGTAAAACTTTCTAAAACGGAAGAAGCGCACAGAATTTGCAAATATCGATATGTATAAATGCACATAATAAGCATTTACTTATAGGACACCTATGTAATAACGTTTACTAAATAAATGTCCACGGTTCCAAATACCTTCTTAATAACTATTTTAACAACGGTCAAAAGTAGATTTTAATCTTTATTAAGAATGAGCTAAAAGTATTTTAAGGGACAGGCGGTATCAAAAGAATTTTTAAGTATTCATTAAACATGCTTACAAGTTTGTACTTACCTGATCCGGTTCGGATAATTCATACCAGGCAAAATGTTGTTCGTTGCAGAATAAGATTGATCTGGGGCCATCTCAATCCTGGCACTAAACCCGAGCCCAGACAAAGGTGTACATGGAAATTTGGACAAATGAACAATGTTGACAGTTGGATATTTGGCAACCGTGCAACAACAGTCATTTGAAACAAGGTCGAGTTTTTTGGAATAGAGTTATTGATGAGGGCAGATTTGGCCCTCCAGTGAAATTGCGACACGTGGCACCTCGCGACCTGGTGCGACCTGCGCATGACCTGGGCGCGACCT